GAGGATGAACTCAACCACTAAAGACACTGTTCCAGATGGTCTACAAATATTAACACATTTATTCTCATAGTAACCCTATGATATCAGCACTATTATCAACCTCATTTTACAGATAAGGAAACTGAGACAGAGAGAACTTACCCAAGGTCACACAGCAGTCAGAGGCAGGGCTGGGAGTTGAACCTGGAGAATGTGTCTCCCTGACCCACGCTCTTAAATACTATGCTACGCTCCCGCCCTATGTGCTTTGCCCACATTTCCAAACCAAGCCTGGTAGACATGAATGTATTTATGGGAGAATATGAAAATGCGACTTGTGCTGAAAATCTGGGATAAATATCACTCCTAAGAGGACTTGGAAGCAGAATTCTCTCTGCAACTTAACGTGGGTATGGGGTGGGGTGGGGCGGAGAGAGAGCTCAGTGCAACTCTCCTTGCCACTCAAAGTGTGGTCCCTGGACCAGCGCGTCAGCATCACCTGGAAACTTGTTAGAAAAGCAAATTCTTGGACTTCATCCCAGACCTGCTGCTGAATAAGAATCTACATTTTAACAAGATCTGCAGGTGATTCAAATATACGTAAAGCCTGAGGAGGGCTGGGCTAATGGTCTCACTGACTCACCACCTGCCATCAGGGTGCGGCAGTTCCGGACACATGTAGAACCCAGGTGTTTGGCCCGTCTGATGCTAAGGCTGTCCCTGAACTCTTCTTCTTTAATAGTCACCCATAATCATCCCAGAACGCCCTCCTGCCTTCAGAGAGAAGTTGGGTAGAAGGCACTCAAAAGTCAGCCTGGCCCAAACCCCATCCTCCCCTTCACCCCTACCCCCAGCCCAGTCTCTTCGTCCACTTTAGCCCTCCAAAGCCGCATTCCAGTCGCTCTTTTAGATTAAAACATTGTCTCTTCAAGAGGCACACAAGCACCTGTCTTCCATTCTCAAATTCCACCTCGGAAGGGGCCTCAAATACCAGCTAGACCATCATCCACTCCTCACGGCCCCTTTACATCATCTCAGCATGTGATCATCGAACCTAGGCTCTAGATGTGCTTCATTGCAAAAAAATCACTTATCAGCTGATACGAATTCACATCCCCAACCTCCCGCTGCCCAGCCCTCTGTTCCGAGAGGACATCTCCTTTTATTTATTCTGGACCCACTGCCACGTTTCATAGCTGCAGCCAGTGGCAAACAGGGGCTGAAATGAGCCCGGCCAGCCCAGGTGTGAACCTTCTTTGAAGGTATGTTTGCTCTGTAGTCCAGGTTAAATGAATCTGTCCAGACTGGTTTCTAAAAGTGTAAAATTGGCTGAGGGGAAAGGGAAGCACAGTAACCTGTGGTTCTGAGACTTGAGCTGCAACAGAGTCACCTGGAGGGCTTGTTAAGCCACAGGTGGTACAGCCCCTCCCCCAGAGCCTCAGCCTCAGGAGGGCTGGGTGGGGCGGAGAATATGCAGTCCTAACAAATTCCCAGGTGATGCCAACGCTGCTGGGCGAGGACCACACTCTGGGAGCCACGGCACTAACTGATTTCTAAGACCTTGTCCAGCCTTGAAGTTGTATTTTTCCAATTCAGTCAAACACCTATTCTAGATTATTCTATTGTCAGAGAGCTAACAAAGAGCAAGAGAAACTTTACCTGTCTCATTTCCACAGAAATCGAATTGTCTCCCATGTTTTCATTTTCTTTCTCCCAATTGGATTGCCCAATCTTATTCACCTTATATAGTTTATATAGCATCCTCAACAGTGCTAGACAGTCAGTAAGCAATTAATAAATCTTTTTAAATGGAATCACATAGCAGGACTAAGGTTTCCACGGAAGAGAGATCCAGAATGCAGAGAGGAGAAAGCCCAGTGAAGGACACGGGCAAAAGTTACCCAGCGGGAGGGCCTTGGTTCCCCGACAGGAGGGTAAAGGATCAAAAAACCAACGTCTCACCTTCCCACCTCCTGGCAATCCAGCCACCCACAGTCCTCCTAACTTTCCCTCATGTAAGCAGAATTCCTTTGATAGTTTTTGGGTTAAGCATCAAATAAACATGATCCTTTCAGACTACCTACCGGTTATTTGCTCCTACCTCATCTAGTTGTGACATTTCTCCCCATTGTGTTGTGTTCCCGGTTTTTTTGGTTTTGAGGTTTTAAACATACAGTGTCTGCTGCCATCTAGTGGTAATTTCTAGCAGGCTCAGGCCATGAAATAGACGCTATGTCCCTGGGTCTAACTTTTCTTAGATCTCTGTGGTAAAGCGTGAGTCTATATTAAGATTCCTGGATAACTGAATTTTCAAGAAAATGCTTACTCTGTCACTTAAAATTCTGAGCTGAAGCAAATAGTGTGGTCACACTTCAGAGCTGGGGCTGGATTCAAACGGAGTACCCCATCCTGGTATTTAATAGCTCTGTGGCACTGGTCCATTACTGAACTTCTCTAAACCTCAACTTCCTCCTCTATGAAATGCGGAGGTTGATGGTACCATCTTTCCAGTGCTATTATGAGGATTCAACTAGATAATGCACATTAAGTGTTTGAAACAATGCTTGGATATTAGTAACAAGCTCTTGATACAGCCTTGGTTGATGGTGAAGATGATGCTGGAAATCAGTCATTCTCAACTCCATGTCAACCCCAGACCAATGAAACCAGAATGCCCAGATGCCCAGGCCCACTCCCCAGAGATTCTGATTTAATTGGTCCAGAGTAGGAGGGGGTAGTAGAGGCAGGTAGTTGGCTAGCAGGGCATCAGGATGTTCTTAAAGCTCCCCAGGTGATTCTAATGAAAACTGGTGCAGTCAACGACACGCAGAAAAGCCATGTGTTCATCTGCAGGTCACTGCAGACCCGGTGTCATTCGGTCAACAGCCTTTATGGAATATTTGCTGTGGACAGAGTATAGGGGGCATGAAAAAGCCAACATGGTCCCTGCTTCATTTATGACAATCCAGATGGGGATGGAGTGGCAGAGGGCAGGTGGTATCACGAACAGCTGCAGACTGTGGTCTGGAGAGTTCTTAGCTTGTGGGCCTCACAGCTACTCTGAGAGAGAAAGGAGAGAGGCAGAGAGACCATGAGAGAGAAGGTTTGGTTTTCAGGGCTAGCTGTACAAAGAGGAAGAGAGGTAGTGACAAGAGATGAGCTGTTCCTTTCCCCACCGCCTGCCCCCACCCCTGCCACTGACACACAGGCACCCAGACATGGGCATAACACAGCTGAGATGCAACCAGTAGGCCTGGCCCAACTGCCCAGCATGACCAGTGTTTATTCAGCAATGCACCCATCTCCCAATTATTTGCTTTAACAGCAATGTGGTAAATGAGCCACAATAACTATTTTTTTTATTCTTTTAGTTTATTTTTTTAGGATTTTCAGATTTTTCGGCATCCTTGCCATTTTGCATTGTCTTTTGTTTAAGTAGCTAAAAGCTTTTGCTCGGGTTTTGATAGTGTTAGCAGTAGCGAGAGTAGCAGCTGTACGGAACCCTGTGCGCCAGGCACTTGGAGTAGCTAACGAGAGGTCAGTGCAGCCAGAGATGACCACACTCACCATTCTAAGAGACTTCCTGCTGGTCACACGTGTGTACATATGAGTACACCCCCTTCTTAAAAAGACATTAATAGAGACAGTAGAAATATAGCGAAATGAATACTTTAAAATATCCGTGACATATTACGTTTAAAAAAAAAGTGGCACAACAATATGAACTATATAATCAATTTATCTTTTTTAAACTAAACGCATGTATATGATATGTGTAAATAAATGTAAAAGATTTGGAAGGATACTGTTAAGCAGTGGCTCCCTCTAGGAAGAGAGGAAAAATTATTAGAGATCACGTAGGGGATGAAAACACAGTCTCACTTCTACTCTGTGTACTTCTGTGATGCTTGGATTTTTGCAAGGAACATGTTTGAGATCTACAATTTTTTTAAATGTTGGGAAGAGTAGTCAGGATCCTAATATATGAATTGATACGTTTCCCGTGTCTGTGTACACATGTATGGGATAAGTGTGAACATACAGGTTTGGTTGCACCTATGCGTGTACAGTATGTGTGTGGTGTGTATGAACATGTATGGCATATTGTGGTGTGTGAGGACACGTATATACATATATATTATAAGTATACTCATAAAATTACTTTTGGCTTGTGTGTTACTAAATGCTATAAAAATATATATAATCTTCTTTTGAAATAGCAGATTTTACCTGGGAACCTCTTAAAACATTTTACGTACGATAAAAGCTACTTGCTGACATTTTTCAAAAGTTGAGATGATCCATTGTTTTACTGTCTTCTTATCATGTCCCCCTAAAACAGCACACACATAAACATCTTATGTAACCAGGAATCTTCAACCATACCATATTCTGGTCTAAAAAGTCTTTGGGGAGAAAATAATTAAATCTGGCATTTTCTTTATTAGGCCATACTGTGGCCTTTAGGTAAACTTAGAAACAAATCCCAAATTCTTAGCTCTAAACTCTCACACAGTATATTTCTTCAACTATTGTACTATCTGATTTGGCAACAACTCTTAGCTTTGTGTTTTAGTTAGCTTATTCTAAATTAAATTTGAATGCAATATTTTTAAATTGTATAAGGAAAGAATCTCTGTGCCTCGGCCAATGGCCCACTAATTTAAATCCGTATTCAATACAACGCGATTCCAATGTGACAGGAGAATTGTAATAATCTTTATTGAATTATATACATTAAATGGGTGAACGTTATATATGTAAATTGTCCCACTAAAGCTGTTAAAAATATTTTTTTAAAGTTCATCTTAAAAGGGAGTAATTTATAATCTCTATACATAATAAAAGTGTTTTCCTGACTGATGGCCCCTTTATTTCTAGTAATATAGGGATCCAGCAGATCCCAGGGCAGGGAAGGAACGAGGTCACGGGGTGCGGCAGTGGCAGCTTGCCTGTGTCACTCCCTGGAACCACGTGGGACCCACCTGACCCAGGCTGAACAAATTTTGCTCTTCCCACAGGAGGACTACAACCAGCTGAGGCCGCTCTCCTACCCCAACACCGATGTATTTTTGATCTGCTTCTCTGTCGTAAATCCTGCCTCTTACCACAACGTCCAGGAGGAATGGGTCCCGGAGCTGAAGGACTGCATGCCTCACGTGCCTTACGTCCTCATAGGGACCCAGGTTGAAAGGGGGGTGATGGCAGGGTGGGGCGGCTGGGGCGGGAGGGCGGCCAAAAAGGAAAGACCCTTTAGGTTTCTCAGGAGCATCCTATTCTTCCAAACACTATAGAAGAGTGTCTCAGATACATCAATCCTATGAACAGCCATTCTTAAGACCTGCAGGATTAGTTAGCCCACAGCTGAAAAAACAAGAGAGCTATTTAATATGAAGCAGGAAGTTTTGATGTGGCCTTTAAAAATTAATCTCTCAGCTTTTTATTTTTAAATAACAAAGTAATTTTTGAAATAGACACCCTTCTCCAGCCCTGAGCCAAAGGAATGAGGTGGGAATGTCAATTACACTTATTACATAATATTTTTTATATCTAAAATTCACAATTGTTTGAAAGTCACAAAATAGGTGTGAATGTCAAAATGACCCCAGCAATCAGAATGGGCGCATTATGACAAGAAGTCCTTAGCAACACTCCTGGAGAAGGAAGACAGAAATTCACTGCTATTCCCTATTCCCTTTAGGGGAATAGGGAAATCTAAAAGCCTCTTGGTCTTTTAGATCTTAGAAAAGAAGTTAAAACAGATATACCAGATAAACAAACCTGCAGTTGTAAAAGCCTTTAAAGTGTTTTGAAAGCTAATAAAGTTCCATAGTTTGGATTTCCAACAGTAAGCAATTGCACAAATGTATTAAAGATTGTTCCAACTTTTTATGGTTTTAAATAGATTTTGTTCATTGGTGTGTTAAAACCCAAATTACTATCCCAAAGATATAGAAATGTAATAACATTGAAGGACAGAGATAATTAACACATCCATAAATCAGAATACAGTTAATGCTTCTTCTCTGAAAGATAATTATTTGTTTGTTTAAATGAAGTCTTTTGCCTTAATTCCAGATGATAATATTTGACTATATTGATGGAGCCTGGATTTCTGCTGTCAAAATACGTGATGAGACATGCAAACATCTTTGTGTGATTTGAGCCTATTTTATAACAGATGGGCACTAAGTTGAACAATTAAGGCTAAAAAAAAAACAAAACTACACCAATTAGTAAACCTGAGCAAGGTGCTTATAAATGGGACCCTAATACATGAATATATTGGTTTTTCTTTACAACACAAGCCTCTATGTGCCCACATTCACACCCATTCATGTATGCATGGGTTCACATACACAGTGAGATTTTAAAGCAACTAAAATATTTAATTAAATTATTAAACCTAATCCAAACACATAGGCTATTTTCAAAGTAGTTCTACCTTTGAAAAGAAAGTTTCTACCTTGGAAATTCCTCTTTAGGACCTGCCTTCAGTGCCTGCAGCACATTCGTTAGAATATCCTAGCAAGTGGCAAGTCTTCATCCTTTTGAGGGTGAAGATTTGGTTTGGAAAAGCCTCTCCCCTCCCCTCAACCCCCCCCCAAAATATGTATTGATAGCCAGGAAATAAACTATTAAATAATGAGTAATATAATTTGGGATCAAATGAGGTGTTGCAGTAAGATTGACTGATTATCTTGTATGTCCAATAAGTAGGGTCTAGAAATAAACAGGAAATTTCAAAAACAGCCACAGAATCACTGGAGTAAGTCCTCAGCTCCCAGGGTAATTGCTTTGAAGGAGAAAGTACAAGGAAAGCCTGATGTTTCCATTTGCAAAGAAATCACATTAATTTTTAGACATAACATGGGCATATGTATGTGTTTCCTTAAAGAAAGTTCAGCAACTTCATAGATGTTAATTTCATAGAGGGGAAAAAACTTCTACTATCTCACAGTTTACAATATCTGGTAAAGCCTGAAAAAATAAGTTTGTCACGTGTGTTTTTTGCCAGATTGACCTCCGTGATGACCCCAAAACCTTGGCCCGTTTGCTGTATATGAAAGAGAAACCTCTCACTTACGAGCACGGTGTGAAGCTTGCAAAAGCGGTACAGTCCAATTTGAATTTAATTTTAAATGTATGCTGAGTGAAGAGTTTGGTGCGTGCTTTGGAATGGGCTAGCTACGCAGGCTTTTGCTTTAAAGTGCAATGTGTTCAGAATCTACTCTCTGCTTTATATCCTCCCCTCTGTTCTCGTCAGGCTGGAAGGGACCATTTGGTGAGCATTCTGTCAGCCAGCATTGTCTGCTTTTCATTAAAAAAGAAACTTGGTGAATTTAAACAGTTGAAGCACTTATCATTTGATTTAGCAACCTCTAGAATAATCCACTTGCCATATTTAGTAAGAATAAAGGGAGTCGTTAGATATACATTTGTAAACCTCACTGCTTATTATCAGTGTAACTCATTTAAATGACCCCGTAAAAGGCATTTTGTGATTTTCTTGGGAGAAACTTAGATTACCATCTGCCAGGATTATATTTGTTCTGTATTTCTCACCATATAATGAATAGCCACTTAGAGAGGCTGCTTATGTCACAAATAGCATCTAGAAGAGTAACATAGACCAAAAAGTAACTAGTTGGAGAATCCAAATGGCTACTCAGCAGATAATAGCAACTTGCTCACAGCTGGGACTGTTTTCACAGACTTTTCTTCATTCTTAAGAGCTTCACATGAACAGTGATTTTGTTGGGGAAATGCTTTAGAAAGTGTTTGCCAGACAGCAAATCTTGTCTCCCCATTACCACTACCGTGTGTGCAAAAGCAGACACTAAAATAGACACAAGGGGATGTAGGTATTTTTTATGCAAAAGGAGGCTTATAAATCATATTTCCATAAGCTGTCTACCTCCTCATTGATTTAGTTGCAAACCCATCAACCCAGGCCAGAAGTTTCAGAAGTTTCTTTTACTTTCTAAACTCATTAACCCTGCAAAATGCTTGCCCCAGTCTGAGTTAGGAGTCACCCTTTTAACCCGTCAAAAGAATAATAACTACGAATTCTTCATGAATAAAAATGTATACATTTCTCTTATTAAAACTTTCTTATAGGCACCAAAACTAAGTGATACACTTGAATAAAAATGAGTTAAATTAATTATGTTTTCATGGATTCAACACATGAAAACATCTCACAAATACTTGAGAGACTGAACGCTTCCCACTTCTGTGAATAGTCAAGTCAGAACTACCGGTAGGAGCCATGCTTAGGAGACAAAGCACTTTACAAGCTGCCTCATTGCAGCCTCAGGATAACCCTTTTAAGCAGATGGTGTTTGCATCATCTTACAGATGAGGAAACAGAGTCTTAGCAAGATGAACATCTTTGATTCACGCAGCTGGTAATAACACAGTCAGACTTTCCAGTCCAGCTCCGTGGACGGCACCCCCATGCACCTGACCCTTGTGCAAACTGTCTCCTCCAACCGTATATTTTTCCTCCAGTAAAATGGGTACAAGTCTATAGGTTCTTCTCCCTTCTCCTCATTCAGCTTAAATTCCCTGACTAAGGTACATCAATATATAGCTCCGTAAATAACTGTATGTGATTCCTAGCTAGGCATTTTCACCCTGGGGAGGTCCCCAGTGGCTCAGCGCCCACTTTTTGCAGGAGCTCTGTTTCCGTGTCCCTTGCTTCTGGCTTATCTCCCACCATCATCCTGTCAGCGTCCTAGCCTGACTTCTCATTTGGGAAGTTGTTTTTTTCCCTCTGAAAAGAAGTCGTTTCAAAGCCTCCCATCTCATTTCATACTTATTTTAGGAACAATGGCTGAGTTCACCACTTTATTGCCTTTTGCCAATTTCTCGTGGCAACTGCTCACAGATACGGAGAGAATCATGTTTTGCTTACAAAATCCAATTTAGAAGAAAACCAAGCAAGAGTTTAACTTGTTTCATCGAAATTCATGTAATTACAGAGATGCTTTTAAGTTTCTCTGCTCCCTGACTTTCCTGTCAAGTAGTTTATAATAACGGCTAGCATTTATGGAGTGTTTACAGCGTGCTGGGCGTGGTGCCGAGAGCTTTACATGCCTCATCTTAATTCATCCTCACAGCAACCCCCTGAGGTGTGTATATCATTATCTCCACCTTCCTAGAGGACACTGAGGCTCTGCGAGGCTAAGGTCACACCGCTGGAAAGTGGCAGAGCTGGGATATGAAACTGGGCTTCAACTACCACACTCTTCCCCCCCTCCTATAATCGGAAAAGAGAGCCTTAGGTTTGGGGCTTCTTCTTTTATATGCTGAAGCCCTGTATTTTAATGCACATATTCTCCCCATAACTTAAACACTTTGCAAGCTCAGATTTTTCATATCCGATTCCTTTTGTTCAACTCCTTCCATTTCCAAAGCATCTTTCATCTTTCATCTCTTTTTGGTCTCAAAGGGCATTTTATTTTTACAGGACATTTTCATATCATACATATTTACAATTCTTTATACTCCAAAGTCAACCACATTTACAGAAATATTTTGTATCAATTTACAATAAATATTCATTGTTATCCCTTTTCTTGTTTCATCCACCCTCTTTTCATTATTGTGTGTTTTAATCTTTAGCCTACTTTTCCCATGCTTTACTCATTAGTAATGTCCACATGGCTACTGGATTTATTTGACAATAATTGATTGAACACCCACTATGTGCCAGGTGCTATGCCACACTTGAGCTCTAAGATTATAATTCTTTGTGCATTCTCTTTCCTGATTCCTTTTGATACAACCTAAACATGATTTTCTAAGTTCAGACTTCCTAAGGTGTTTCGTGATAAAACACTTGACCGTTTTTCCTTTTTTGGTCTTTGGCCTCTTTGTGCCCTCTCCTGCCATCTTCTTCACCCTGTGCCTTTTTCGTTGTTGTTCTCACACTTTGGCGTAGCACCTCTTTCCTGCTGGGGTTTTAACATGCACCGGTGGGGTTTACAGCCGCAAAACTGCTGCAAAAATCCTGTAACCAATGTTCAGTCATGTTAACCCGCTGGCGTCTTGAATACCCTCCTCCTGACTGCAAAAGTCACCGTTACCCTCCTTGTTTTGTGCGCTGGCCATTTCCTCTTCCTCCTACGGTCACTGAAAATCCGTCACTTCACCACTGGAGTCTGGGTTACAGAGACGAGGGAAAGACAGCCCTGCCCTGGAGAGGCCCATAGGCCAGAAGAGGAGAGAGACAGGCAAACAAAGCATGCCAACTGAATAAATACAACGACAGACGTGTGCGCAAGGTCCTGAGGTAGCAGAGAGAGGGGGGAGTGAGGGACACATTCAGCGGAGGAGGATTCAGAGACAATTTCTAGGAGCAGTTGACATCTGAGCCAGGTTTGAAGGATAAGGACAGTCTGTCAGGTGGACAAAGTTAGGGGACTGGGGAGAAAAAATTTCAAATAGGGAGACCAGTACATGCAAGGGCATCCTTTAAAGCATAGGGCAAGCACATTGGCAAGTGATGGGCCAAATTTTACCCACAAATGTTTTGATCAGTCCACACAGGTATTTTTAATGTGATTTAGTGGCCAACATTGAATAATTTGGAAACTTTACATAAATATACACATTTTTGGTTTCTGAAAAAAATCAGGTCAGGCAACACTAGCTAGCATTTCTGCATCAACTGCAACATTTAAACAGTCTTTTAGACAAGATATGTACCCTTCAGTTTGCCACAATCCCCACCACTCCGTATTACCTACACTCAAGCAGTGTACTCACATCATCTGCCCCATAGTTGGCGATCTCTGCTTTACAGTCTTGAAAAAATCAGCAGCAAATCCATCCAGCCTAGAAATTCTTCACCTCTTTCAGCAATTTAATCACAATGCTGATTTGAGTTGGAATTTCTGTCACAAGCCATTTGGTTTCTTTTCCTTTTCTTGGCTCTCAAGTCGCCCTCTCTATGTACTTGTCCTAATTCTTAAATAAGAAATAAAGAACTTCTCTGCTATTCACTGTTTGTTTAGATACCAACTTACTCTGTTTATTCCACTGACATCTTCCCTTCTCCCCATTTACAGGAAACGCCTCACTTTTCCTTCCTTCCTTCCTCTCTCATCATCCTCACTAAGTCCAAAACACCTTCTCCATTGTTCACTACTTGGCTTTTCCAGACACATTTTTTTACATTCCTTAGAAACAGCCCCACAGGTTAAGGCTCTGGCTCAGGAGACAGACATTCAAATCTCTGCCATTTTCTTAGTTGCGTGGCCTTAGGGAGGTTACCTAACCTCTCTGGGCATCAGTTTCCTGAGCTATGAAATGAGGATGTGATAGACTTACCTCATAAAGTTCTTGGGACAACTAAATAAGCCTGTGGGCCATGAGGTCCAGCTCAGCAAACGACAGTTGTTGTTCAGTGTGTGTGCCTCTCCCAGACCTGTCTACAGCTAGGAAGACCTCTTTGTCTTTATTCCTTCCAGTTAAGCTCTTTCTTATTCTGGAACATGTCCCACCTCAGCGAGGATGACCTGGAAGAAATACGAGGTTTTCTTCCGCTTGACTAGTGGTTGTGGGTTTGTTTGTCTTTCAACTTCTTCTTGTCAGACTCTTGTATGTTTTATACATCTCTGATAAATTTCTCAGCTTTGGGACAATAAATTTTAGCTATTATAAAGTTATCAGAAAAGTCTTCTCTCCATTTACATTCCTCAATCTCTATTTTTTTCTTGAAAATAAATCGTTTTGGTAAAGCATGTTCCAGATTGCTGACATGAGTATCAAAACAAGGATCCGTGAATCCTGAACTCTTACAGTTTGTGTCTAAATATTTGACTGTGTAGGTCACTTTGCTCCAACAAGCAGATGAAGTGGCTGCTGTAAGAAAAGCCATATTTCCTTGAGACAGTTTTCCATTTCAAATTTTTAAGCACACAAATTTTTTTTTTTTTTTTTTTTTTAGCAATGCCTATAACATGATTGTGCCTTTTCCCTGAACCAGGATGAATTCTTCTCTCTCACCCTCAGAGCACTTGATACGTGGTTAACAATACTCATCTGATAACTGGGTTCTGTTTCTCACACATATTTCCCAAATCACACCCAACATCTGTTTGCTACTTTTCCTGGAATTATCAGTACAAAATAACATTATATTAACCCAGTTACACAATAATGCCTTGATCTACTGTTTCATTATCTTCAGAAGTGTCTGAATTAGGAAAGACAAGTTTGGGCTCTTCCTGCGCCATCAAAAGGCAAACTCTGACACGCTGTCAGCTGCACTCTGGGGGGAGGAGGAGAGAGAGAGCAGAGCATTCGCCCATCCTCCAGGACCAGAGAGCCCAGAACCCCGTGTGTGAGCTGAGCTCAGCCCAGCTCTCCTGTAATTTCCAGAATCAACTGATGCGTGTGACTGTTGGTGGGAGGTATTCTGAATAGAAAGGCCCCACAGCATTCTCTGGGTATATTTTCAGGATGATTGACAAGAGCCAGCACGTTACAAGCAGTCATTCCGTTGACACATTTATTAGAGTGGGTGCTTTTCACATGTGTTCATATCAAGTGTTGGCCATGATCCCAAAATGTAACAGATGACATTTCATGACATTATTAGGAAAATTTTCTCTACCCTAGCCTTCTCTTGCATCCAACTGTTGTTAATTACAGAAAAAGTTATGTTCTAATCCAAAGGCCAAACCATGGTTGAAATGAAACCATAAAATAGGTTTTCAACATCCAACATCTTTTCTCTGGCTCATACAGTAACCATTCTTTATAGCAAAAAAAAAAAAAAAAAAAATTGCATAATATCTGGACCCACCCAGAACGATTTTATTTCATGCTTAGTTTTTATATCGGTGGGCTTTCAAACGAGTGGGCAACCTCACTTCACTAATTGTCCACTCGACCAGCTTCTCGCAGAGTTGAGTGATTAGGGTCACAGTTACCGTCATGGAACAAGGAAAAGAACGCACACCAAGAGAACCACATTCCAGTTTTAGTTTCTTTCACTTTCTTGTTGGACGTCCCTAAACAATTCTTTAACCTTCTGCGCCTGTTCCCACGCTCTTCTAAGCTAAACCGCAAGTTTCTTTAGTCCACACATTGTGAACTGGCTGGTTGCTGCCAAAGACATCTCACATCAGTGTCTTGCTTGGCCCACAGTGTTTCAAAAATTGGTAAATATTAACTAAAAATCCAACTCCTCTTGAAAAATACAAAGATGGGCAACAGTGAACCAACATTCCCCTGCCTGGCAACCGTTGTCTAAAGCTAAGTAAGACTGCCAACTCTAGGGGTGGTGTGTACTTCACAGTCTACCACAATCCCCACCTCTCCCTATTGTCTGGTGCCAGACCTGCTTTACGCATTTATATAAGCTACTGGCCCTGACAGGCACCTGATTTTGCTACCCTGTTTTAGCCATTTATCTGCGGTGGTTTCCGGGAGCTCACCCTCCAGCCACCCTCTTCTGAATCTGCTGTGAGTTTTCAGCTGTTCTTACAATGTGGAACATATGATGGAAACATTTCCCCAGATGTCCTTAATATTAAAAGGCCCACATCATAATGTTGGCTCATACTGAGCCTGTGAGTAATTAAAACCCCGGATCTCCTTCACATGAACTGTCTCATGAAGTTGCCTGCCAAACATGGTCTGCTCTGGCCTGCAATTTTGTTAATAAGAATCCACAGTTCTGACCTGAATTTCTATATTTCTCATAGGGATTTTGTGATGATCAAATACACCATAGTATGAAATCATCAAAAGCTTTGAAATAAAGCCCTAAGCAAGCACAAAATATTTTATCATTTAAATATGCATAGACTGTATACTGACAAGGAGGGTGTCTCTGTCAGAAATGCATTTTACAATTTTTATTTTTACATGCTTCGGGTTTTTTTTAACCGCTTTAAAATATGGCTTTTAAAGTATGATAAAACTAGAAAATAATACTAATCAGATATTACTTTGCTGAGAGATACCTTATCAGAAGTACATTTTAATCAAGAACGACTTATAAAACCACGTCAGCCACTCTGTTTCTTATGTTCTATCAACCACGCTGACACTTTGCCTTACTACGTACAGAAGGAGATATAGTTCACTTACACAGGATTTACACATTCTGTGTACAAATGAGAGGATACTAAAAACAACATCACGTAGCCCTGTTGTTCACAAAATATATTTAAACCATATCACTGGTTTTGAATCCTCTCTTAATTTTTATATTTTTTATATTCTTATATTAGGAATAAATGGCTATGTATCACTTTCATAATTTATTGCATACCACAAGCGATCCACAACCACTATTGTTAATATCAGAAAGTAAAAAATATAAAAGTACAAAAAGTCAGGAGAGCAGATGCAAATTGAAATGCAAAAGAATAAAGCGTTATACAAACCAGCCCCTGGGCTGTTCATGGAACCAGCAACAGCAGCAGCACGTGGCTGGGCAGAGGGCTGACACCACTGTGCTTTTTTCTCTTTTTTTCCTCTCATTCCTTTCTCTCTTTTGTGTTTAAGATCGGAGCACAGTGCTACCTGGAATGCTCCGCCCTGACTCAGAAAGGTCTCAAAGCGGTTTTTGATGAAGCAATCCTCACCATTTTCCACCCCAAGAAAAAGAAGAAACAGTGCTCCGAGTGTCACAGCTGCTGTTCAGTTATCTGAGGTGGCTGGAGACCGGCTCCACCCCACCTAAGGGTGAGAATGGCAACCAACCTCTGCGACCGAGCTCAAGCCAGAAAGGAGGGCATGACCAGAGAGAAAGTCCCTTCACACGGAGGCTTGCCCCTCCACCCTGCGAGCCCTTCAAGCGCAGCACACCAGTCAGCCAACTGCCACATCCTCCCTACCAGCCAGAACAATCCACGTTGCACACTCTACAAGATGCTGAGCCCAGATCTCAGCCAGTGCCGCTGCTGACCATGTTGGAAACAAGGTCAAAGGCCATCTTGCATTTTACATCCCTCCCTCCCATAAACGTGAACTGATAGGAAATCTTCACAGGAAAACCAAAAGAGGCACTCGGTTCCTATATTGGTGGCCTTACTTGATGTCTTTTACAAAACATGAGAATACAATATGTACTAACCTTTTTTTCTGAATCTGCTGTTCTACCTATGTGTCTTACATTCATTTGTATTATGTTAAGAAATTTACTAATTTACCAGTTTACTCAGGCCTTACAAATCCATACCAAAGTAGCCTAAAGACAAAGTGTTTAATATTCATTTCTATTTTCAGCATGTTTCTACCAAAGCTATTAGAAGCAACATGTACCTCTGAATGCCTGATTACAAGAAGATACAAGAAAATGTTAAAAATTTTGGAAATTTACAGAGCCATGATTTTCAAAACTGGTTGAAAGAAAACACCAAGTGAATTGTTGCAGGTCTACATTTTTGCCAAAGATTCACCCTAGAGATGTTTATGTTGATAGGTAGCCTTATTTTTTCCCTATTATTCGTCTTGGCAAATTACAAATGAACTGTGTTTAAGAAAGTAGTATTTCTGCTTTTTAATCAAATTGGTTGGGGAGAGAACATGGCAGACTTAGCTTTTAAAATATTCTTTATCCAGCAAAGTGAACTTTCCTGCTCCCTCCCTTCCCCATTGCATGCCCCTTTCCTCCCTTGATTTCACACTTTCTCTCATGCCCAATAATAACCCGATCTCGAAGAAGGATCTGGCCATGGGGCACAAAAAAGTAAAAGAGTAAGTATTGAAAAGTCCCCAAAGGTTAAGCAAAAGTCCCTCAATTTTTGCACTTGCTTCAACTGAAAAAGCTTCTCAGCTTGCCCCAGGGAAGCTCCCATTCTATTTAAATGACATTTTCCAAGTACAACTGGTACTAAAATATTGCCTCTCCCTATTTCCTATACTCATTGTCCCAAATGGGTATTTAGGAGCTAGATCCGTGAGTTTCAAGTTCTGGATCTCTTTATTCCCTCCTTTCAAAATGATGTGCTCCAGAGAGCAGGGACTTTGGCCTTGGGGTAATAAAAGCCCCCCAGCAAGGAATTATGTGCTCTTTCTTTATGCCTCTTTCGAACACCCAGGGATTCTTGTATCACGGAGTGAATTACTTCTTAGCTTTTAATTAGAGACTATGAAGTCTTCTAACTAGTCATATTTGCTTACAATTACCCTGGAAACACCCAGACAGGCACTTTATTTTTTATTTCAATTGCATAAGCCAAGTGCCTCTTTGCAGCATAAAATTACAGCAATTTTAGTTTAAGAATTTCCAGATTCATACTCCTTCTGTTTGAAAAATCCAATATTTCCTGTCTCTTCTGCTCCTGGAGGAAGGACATAAAAAAATAAGTGTATGGTGTGGGTCTTCTCTGTTAAGACCTTCCATGACACCCCCTCAGTTTTTTGGGTTTTGTTTATTTGTTTAGAATTTCTGAAATGTGTTTTCCCTTATTCTACATTTCAAGTTCTACTTCCCTTCTCCCTCATCTAGTTACTAAACATTTTTTTTAAACATACACACACACACACGCCCTAAAAGAAAACGGGAGTTTTGTAAGTCAAAGCTTGACATTTAGAGAAAACAAGGACTTTCTGCCTTTGTAAATAGAAATCAACCGTGTACCAACTATAACTCTGCAGAGGTTATGAATTCATCCTTTACAATGATGAGCATTTAGCCCGGTAATAAATGAAGCGTGTTAACCAGTTTTGTTACATTATTGTGTAGTTACGTCTTGCTAAAGGTCCACTCCTCGCTTCTCATTGATGTGGATGAAAAATTGAGAGCAGTGTGTTTGCTCTGCCAAGGAGAATTTTCCAGATGTGTGCACTCAATAGGCAAATGGTTCCCCAGGCCATAGCCTCCCTAATGGGCCACAGGGATTAACTTGTTTACAGCGGGAAGATCACTCTTTCGCCTGGAACCAAAACCTGGAGAGAGACTGTTAGTGTCTGGGTGGAATACAGGCTCCTAGAGGTCTTAGGAGCTAATTATTTAATAAAATGATGAATAATAAAGCAACCTAAATGAGTTAATGTCATTCCACCAAATTAATCATTTATTCCGTTTCCTGGCAAGATGTAGTTCATTTCACTAAAAAGTGTTTTCTGCCATAAGATTGAATAAAACTATCTTCTGAAACCAAAAATAAGAAGAGACATAGAAATCTGAAGAAGGATCCTTTAATGGTCTACATCATCTTCCAAAGTCAAGAAGGGGCAGCCCATCTCCATTTGAGGGTAGAGTCTTAAATTTTCAGAGCTAGAAAAGGCCTCAGAAACTATAGTCCAGTCCCCTCATTGTACAGATGAGAAAACTCAAGCCCCGATGAGTTAAAAGAGATGTGGTGGAGCTGGGACAGATCTCAGCTTTTCTGCTTCCCACCCAGTGTCCTTCAACTCATACCATAATCTATTCAGTTGATTATGATTATGATAATATGTGATTAATCCACATATTAAGTTGGAGTTTTGTAAGCGTATTATTGGAGTTGCATCTGATTATCCTATAGAGCCTAGTCACATTTCAAACTCATGATTAGGGCAACTATAAATAAGATAATCCATCACACTAGTAATAACCTAGAGACAAGAATTTGATCTATATACTAATATGCCTGGAATCCACAGTATACAATGTAATATACCCCCAATCCAATTGGATGGTATACAGCAATGTGATCCCAGTCTAACGGCTCAATCAACTAGCTAGTTTGGTAGATATTTTTTTTCAATCAGATGGTTGATTGGTAAAATTAATAGACTCCTTGGGCTATTTTGGAAACACAAAAAGACTAAGACACAAGTCAAAGCCACATGGACAGTAAGAAATCTGGACTGATTTCTGTCAAGACAAGTTATACTCAAAGAATAATTACTGAATGCAATAACTGCAGCAACCATAAATCAGGAAGCATTAAACTGGAAAATCAAAATCCAAGTCATACACATATGACAGGAAGGGAGATTTGGTCCTGCTACTTCAACAAAAATATGTCTGATCATGATATGCAAGGAACCATTCGGAAGATTTCTGGTCCATAAGAGAAGTGCCAGATGAAGTAGATGTAACCACACATGATTTCCACAGGACCGCCAATAAGAAAACAAAATTTATATGGTAGCAAAGGAGCAATCACAACCACGCTCACAATTTTAGGAGAAAATAAAGAATGTCAAACCCAGAATTCGAAGGCAACAAAAGTGTCATTACTTAGAGTGTAAGGTCCTGTGAGCAATAACCCGGCAAAGTAGAGTCTTCAAGAAGAAATATTTGATTTGAGGTAAGCCTTTAAAGATGCAGTATTGCATTCATAAAGGCAAACTCATCCATGAGACCAAGGTGATGGAAGATTAGAAATTAAGGTTTTGCTTTAAAGGAATGTTTGACACCATGCTGGAGATGATTATCTAAGCATTTATGTCTTCGTTTTTAAGTCTATGCCTATGTTTAGATGCCAGAATGCAAAGTGTGCATTCTCTTCAACAGAGAGAACCACAGGTCACCAGCTGTTCTCTTAAGAGTCATAGAATAGGCTGCCCAAGTACAAATAAGGAAACTCAACAATATATTTTCATTTCAAGGACCATTAGGAACAGAAAGGAAAAGAGGTGGTCAGGGAAACCAAGGTTCTTACAATGAAGTTAGGAACTTTTAAAAAGGAAACATTTGGAGAATGGAGCAAAAACTAAAACCAAATACAAGGCAAATACACATAGCTGACAATTCTCCCAGAAAATTGCCAACTTCTGCCTAGTCTCTAGAGACATAGGGAGGATAGGCAGACCATTCATGTGAAGGGCATTCCATGTTGCTGGGTATCTAAGCAGAGTCAGCCAACAGGGTTAATTGTGTGATAATCCTAGATAATTCCACCTCACGATTCATTAAAAATGGATGCAATGCTCGACAATGCTCTTCGGGTCTTTAAAAACCTTGCACCTTCTCTGCTAATACAAAGCAGGCTGTTAAGGGAAACTTACCAAGAAATATGAGTGAATAAATTATTTTGAAAGTTTCCATGAGTGTGAACATGACTTAAATCCTGAAAAGGATGACTTTGGGATATCTGGAAAGACAGTTACTTGTAGGAATAATATTTATTCATCTTCACTGGAAAATCTCTAAATAGAAAGATTGCAATAAAATGCGCAACAGCAATTCAGTACAAACATATGAGATATTCATGATACTTATATGGTCAACAAAGACCAGAAAAGAAATTAAGGTGCCAATCTCTACACAGAAGCACTTACAGCCCTGGTCTTTGCAGATCTCTTCGGGTTGGGGCAGGAATGAGTCAAGGAAGGTTTGGCTCATCTGTGAATTCATGGGATGCAAGTTCAACTACAGTTCTTGGCTTTCAACTTCCACTACAGGAAATTACAGGAAAAGCTGCATGATTAATCTTGGTCACAATCTATTTTTTTTCTCCTTAGGGGATATTATGCCAAAATCCAGAGTTGTTTTGTGCGTGTGTGTTTTAAACATGTTCTACCCTGGTAATTTCATTTTGCTCTGAGTTCTGTGGTGACTCAGAAACTTCGTGATACTATAGCTGGCGTAATTTTGTTGTATTTTCAGCAATGTCCTCCAAGCCTCCCAGTTATAATTTGCAATTATCTTTGACGAACAAGATCTCATCAGTGTTTTAGGGGATAGGATGTCTGGGGCAATCTGAGGAGAGGATCCCCAAGGCCCAGAACTGGGTTTCGCCTGAAGGCATGGTAGCACACTTTGCCTCCCAGTGACCCTGCATAAGTCAGTCTTTTAAGTTTATGTTAATTCTCTGGAGAAAAAATAGAAACTCTTTCATGGCAGGGCGGTATGTTTTGGGCAGCTCTGTAAATACACACATAAAATTACCACCACCTGCCATTTTTTTAAATCAATTTTTTTAAGCGACTGGATGTTTTTCTTATAGAGGAGACACGGGAAGGAAGGTTAATGCATTCTACATTCTTCTCATCACCTGGCTTAAATTGGTTTTTGCTCTGAGCAAGCAGTAACTGCTGTTTGAGTACATCTCAGTAGAATGTTATCCCACCTGAAACAGCCCACGTGCCTCTGTATGTAATCTCTACAGAGGAAATGATAGACGAGGGAAGCACAGCTGACCTGCTCACGGCACGGCCTTCTTACAACCTGCTTCTTATGTAACGGCTCATCTATGTGCACTTCTTGTAATTACCGGAATATTTTTCATGTACTCTTTAACCTCACAGTTTATTTTGTGCCAGGTTCTGACATTTAAGTCATTAAATAATATTTTTTCCTACTCTTATTTCTAGGTTATCTGAGGGTGTCTCCATTAGCCACTCAAGAAAACTGCCTTCCCCAGGCCTCTGTTAGAATGGGAAATTGCCTAGCCGTTGTTACTCCAAGTGTGGTCTGGGGACCAAGCCTGGGCATTACTGGGAGCTGGTTAAGTCTGTAGAATCTCAGGCCCAGTCCAGACCTACTGAATGCAAATCTGCGTTTTAATAAGACCCCCAGGTGATTTGCATGCACATAAAATTTGAGAATACTGGTCTGTGAGACAACCAAGTTTATTACCAGTCTTTAGCTTCACCTGTCTCTCTGATGCTACCTTTTGGGTATTCCTTAGGCTAATGGTTGAGTTGTTCACATTTACGGAAGGAATAAAAAGGCTTTCAGAAGTCCTTTCTTTTTCTTGCCATGTGCTGCCCAGCTGCAGTAAAGGAAAAAACATATTTTGGAATTGAAAGCAGAAAAGCAGCATCTGTTTTGAAAGATCTAAATCTAAAGTATTTCTCTTCTGAAAGTCTTTCTGGTGTTAATAAGGGAGAGAAAAAATGCCCTTCAAAATCATGTTCCATGAAGAAATAAGAAAGATTCATATCACATGAAGTTGTAAACTTATAAAATGAAGAGAAACAAATTTCTGAGGCATAAAACTTTTGGTGAAGCTTCTGTTTTCATTGCTTAAGACTCAGTCCTCTAGATGCCAGAATAAGGATTGACTACAAACAACCTGTCCTCTAAACAGGGCATTCCACAGATTTATATTTTTATTGCCCTAAGCACAGACCAGAATTGTATTCACTTACTCAACGTGTTTTAACTCAACATCGCAGGCACCATGCTTTGTTGTCTCCCCCATACCCCACCTTGTGTGCAAGAGCCCTTAAAAAAATTGTACACACACACACATACTGAGGCCTATTGCCTCATTCAATCCCATTGCTGCTGAAGATCTGAGGGCAAACCACACCTACCTTCAAACAATTAAAGAGCACAAGGATTAGCACTGTCTTTGTACCTGCAAATGGCCTGCTAATTTTCTGGCTAGGATATCAGTGATGTGATCCCAGAAAAGGGACCCGATGTCATTGTGCACATACAGTCACTAGTGTACACCTCCTCCGTGAGGGACCACCCACTTCCTGCAGCAGGCCTCCCTTTCCACTGCTGACCGAGTTCTGACTTGGGCACCTTCAGTCAGATGTCATCCTTCAGGCTCGAGGCACAGAAACCCTCTTGTGTCCCAGGACACCCTTAGACTGAAAAGCATTTCAACTGGGGCAGCTGTTACATCTGCTAACCCAAAGAGGCTAGCATTCTCGGAAAGGTTTAGTCAAATCCAAACACAGTCTTACCAAAGATCGTTTTCATGAGTGCAAATGTATCCCTGCTTTCTTGCTCATAACCAGGGGTGCAAGCTGCCAAAAAGTGCTTCTTACCC